TTGTAGGGACTAGGTGTCCTGCACTATATATAGCTGATTTCGAAGGACAAGGTCTTTCATATTAATTCTACAAGGACGAGGTGTTTTGATTTGAATTGAGCAACAATTGGTTACGTTATTTATTTTTTATTATAAAAATTAATAAATTGAAATTAACTTCAAATCTACTTTATAAAAAATTTGTTCCTTTGCTAAAGCTTCCACAGAAAAAGGTACCTCTTTTTAAATTAAAGGTACTAAGGTTTTTTTTCATTTATTTTCTGAATTATCTTTAAATGCCCAAAGTAACCATTGTAGCTCATTAACTAGAAATATTTTAGAGAATTCTTTCTCGGCATTCTCCAGATGTGCAGCTGGTTTAATCCAAGTATATGTTCCTTTGGAATATTAGTTTTTTTTATTGATGTTAAATTTTTTTGGTACCTTTTTTCATGGCCTTGAGATTTTCACAAAGACTTGAGGTTCCTTTTCCAGGAATAAGCTCATTGAATATTCTCCAAGACTTTTGTCTACTGCTCATATAGATAGAAATAATTCACTCTAAGGTTGCTTGCCGAAACTCATCCAGAAACCAATCAGCAGGGTTTCAGCAGGTTACACATTAATTATTTATTAGAGTTTTGGCAGAGTTTCGCATTTTGAGGTTTCGCCATTTCAGCATAGTTTCAACAGGATTTTTGATAAGATTTAATATAGTTTTGCTGTGAGTTCAGCAATTACTAAGGAGGTTTCGTCCATAACCTTAAGTACAGATTCAAACAGTATTAAATGACTGTAACATTAGATCAACTATAGAGTTTCTTTGGGGCATTGCCCATAATATTTCAAAAATATGCAATTTTAACAATTTCGTCAGACAAAAAAAAAATATTACAAATGTATCTATATTGTATATTTTTGAACTGGTTTTTGAAGAAAAGTAAGGATAATAAGTAGTGTTAATAGTTAATTAATGGTTGATTTAACTTGTCTGTAAAAACCAAGCTTTTAGCTAGTTATCCAGGACTTCACACAATCCTTGGCAAATTGTTAACACAATGCTAGTTGGTAAAGTGTCCTGTCAATAAAGTGTCTTGTTGGTAAAGTGGGTGTTGGTGAAGTGTCCAGGTCTGGATCAAATACCCTAACAGCTTCTTTCAGAACATTAATAGTGTCAAGAATCCTATCTTTATAAGGTACATCAGCTTTAGGATGATCTGGATATACAGAAGGAATCACACATTGTAATATCAATGCATGTATTAAAAGTGAAGAAATCTTAAATTGAACTAGTGTTCCATGTCGCAATCTAAAAAAGGAAACAAAATGGTTGTAAAGGTGGTTGCAACCAGTGGTTGCAATTATACAATAAACAATCCAAGCATCTAGATCCAAACTATCATTTGCACCAATGTTGCAAATCAAATCTTCATCAATTGCATGACCACACAAACAAACAAGTCCAGCATGACTTGCTTTTTATTGTTATTTAATACTTTCTTCATGTGTGAATTCCTTTGAACTCACATTCATTATAATAATTATTTGTAATTTGATATTATCATTGACATTACAAACAATTGTAATAAATAATACCAAGACCATGCAAAAATGAAACTTTTTAAGGAACCTGATTTCAAAACAATAATGTGAATCTACCCAGATCCATAAAATAAATGAATTTTATTCTCCCTCAGACCAAGATTGACTTGTCACTGTTGAGAAGGATCAAAAATTTATTTTCCTTCTCATTGTGTAGTTCCTTAAAAACCACAAATAAATCTGGTATTGATTGATCACAGGTGTCAGATTTAATAAAATTTCCTATCACAAACATGTAGTCAGTGCTCTTAACACACTTCAGCACCATGAAACTTTTTTCCACAGTTAAAGCATCCCACATACTGGAGGGCTTTTTCAAGGTGGGCAAATTTTTCTCTAATCTTCCCCTCAGACCAGGCTTGGTTGACCAGCTCAGGTGCTGTGAGAAAAGATGAGGTAAGATTCACAAAAGCATCCTTGAACTTGAAAAGTATTAGTAAAATGAATTTTAGCATCCTCCAATTCTGCCCAAATATGAAGTTGATTGAGAGCTAAACTGGGTTTTGTTGATAGGCTTGTCTTTTTTATTACATTTTCTTTTTTGTTATTATTATTATTATTATTATTATTATTATTATCAATTTTTTTGAACACATCATCTTAAGATTTTCTCTAAGACTTGCAGTACCTTTTTCAGGAACTAGATCATTTGTTTCATGCCATGTTTTTTGTCAACTTTTGTTATAAAATGTAATTATTCTTTTAAATAAAAATTCAATATTGATTTTATTGGAAGTTGAAAACCAACTGATTTTACTAGTATATTTTTAGTATGATGTGCATTCACCATTTTTTTCGATTACAAATTCACAACACCATCTCATTGATCCTACTAAGTTAATTAGAGTGGATTCAGGAATATTTCTCCACTCCTCTATCATAAATCGCTCCAATTCATCCTGATTTTTTGGCATATGCCTCTCTACATTTCCCTTAACAATACTCCAAAGATTTT